GCTCAAATACAATATATTTATATGTACAAGTTTATGCACAATGGTGTTATGGCAAGCATGTTCAAGCCTACATTCAGATACTATAGTTCAATCAAGAGCTAACAATGCATCCTAAATGTGCAAGATTAATAGACCAATTAATAGACCGTAGTTGGTAAATTAAATCTAACGTCAGCTCTAATGATGCACAGGGGGGCACGGGGGGGGCCCAGTCGTCTAAGGCGCCGCGATTCGCTGTACAGAGTTGCGTCCCTTGGGCACGCCAGAAACCTATGATTGTGGGTTCGAATCCCGGTTCGACCCGATTATGTTTCTAGGTTTGTCAGCACCATACCCGTGCTCGTGGGTTTCACCGAAGTGGTAAACGTCTGAGACCTGCATTACTTCGAGCTTTCCTCCCACATTAAGCTGACACGCCGCGATGTAACTGGAATATTGTTAAAAGCGGCGTTAAACCCAACTCACTCACTCACTAATGATGCACAGATTGAATAATTTTAAAGTTTTCGTTAAGCGATTTTTCAATATTTCCATATACATAACATCGTATCCATTTACATAAAATAATGTTATTTGTATGAATGTAATAATATGAACATACATGCATGTAAGTAATTGTATTTTGTGTTTTGATCATAGCGTTTGCTGATACATAGCGAGTAAGTTCATTTTCCACCGCTTTGGACAGTATTTCGGTTATATGACGGTGTGCCAGTTTGAAGAGGATGGAATGTATCTTAAAGGGAACGTTTTGTAACGTAACGATTCCCCACATGGAAGAATTGTGTCAAGAATCATATTCTTGATTTCCATTACCCCGACATGACTGGACTATTGGCTAAGAACTGCGAAAATATCCTTTTAAAATATCACAATTTGCATGTGACGTTTAATTCAACGAAGCTTACAGACGCGGGGTATAATGCATTTAGTGCAGCTCACGGCTGACATAACCGTTTTTGTAGGTTCACAATCAGAGATAATATGATTAGCAAAGCAGGCCCGAATGTAACCCGAGCTCCGCGCTTCACTCTGGCTGTAAGATGCGTCTCATCCCAGTAAATGTCAGGAGTTGCCGTGCCCTGCTGCTGGTGTCGTGTGATGCAACCAGGGCCTGGCTGCTATGGCAATGTTTCAACTGATAGCTGCAGATTTCATTTTAAATACAACGCAAACAACTCATGCCGAAGTATTGAGACTCGTGCAAACATGCACAGGCTATTGTGACATTAATAATTATTGAATAGTTTGAACCTGTGTTATAAGAGGCAGAACAGACGTTGGTCATTTTGCACTGGCATTCACATTTTAACGAAATCAGCATGTATACTTCCAAGGGAGCTGAGAACGCAAGTGGATTAATTGCTCTTGTCTCTTTGGCTGTGGTAATAATGTCAGGCGTTTTGAATAAGCGCCAGGAGCAATCACTGATTTTCGACATAAATATAAATAATTATTATCATTATCATTGTGAAAGTCCGGACTGGAGACAGTGTATGTACAACGTGCAGCGGTATTCGTCATCCTTCACAACACACTAATATTAAAGTTGTAAAAAACAAACCGTGCCATCTTTCAAAACCAACAACCATTTTGCCCCTGCGGGTACTTTCCCTACCTGTAAATGAGGCAATATTCCACATGATTCTTGTCATCAGGGGCCCGTTTCACAAAGAGATCGTAGCGCTAAGACTGTCGTAAGTCTATGTTAAAGTATAGGAGTTACGGCAGTCGTAGCCCTACGATCGCTTTGTGAAACGGGCCCCTGTATATTATGGGGAAGCCATGACGCTGCCATTTAATCCAATGGGTATCAGTTACCGCTTTCTACGTGTAACTTTCACACACCCAAACCTGAATATTAGACAATAAACTTTTCATACCTATTATTTCGATCCTTGCCAGAAACGTCCGACTTCGAAATATCACGTGACATGTATTTGAATTCTATGTAAAGGATCGAAAATCTTCGATGTTCTCATTGTATGGTTCATCTAAGATATCGTGTCACCTTCGAATATCTTTATTTAAAATCTATTTCAGCTACTTTGTGTCACAACTTGTGGCTTTGAGTATTCATTTTGCTGAATTTAATATAAAAAAACCCACCGAAATGAAAGTATGTATATTTTGTGGTGTAGTGTTGCCAGACAGTTGCTCAATATTTGCTTGAAATGGGAAACATGAACTTACCATAATTTCAATCCGGCATTTACTTTTTTTAAACGGGGACAAGACATCATGGTATAAAGACATCCATTTTGTCCTTGTGTTATTATATAGAATATGGGTTAGTCCCCATCCATTCACTCGTATTTTCTATTCCTTGCATCACCTCTTAACCCAGATGTGAAGTGTTGAAATAGAGAGGGCTTGTCAATATTTGATTTGGCAAATAATCATGCGCAAATTGCTATGATCGATCCGACATTATTGGTAAAATTAAGTCTGACGTTTTGATGAAGACGTTTTTTATAAGAAATTCACGACTGTAAGTTGTTCATCACATTGACGTTGTCAGCCTCATATTCCGAAGTCGCCACAGATTACCAAGATCTGTCTTTAAGAAATGAAGAAAAAATACAATATGCACTGATGGATCGATTGGCGATTATTTGTAACTCTGCTCGAGTCGAAAACGCTGATCCAGTTTGCATGGACTTGCTAGGATTTCAGATTGATAACCCACAATACATTGTAACTAGATGGTAGAATGTATTACTTGGCGGTTACCCAAGAAGTAGCTGTTATGTGTTATGAACAATTGTTGTGGACAGAATATTGGCTCTCCAACTCTCCTGACTACAATGCAGACAGACGTCTTCCCATTACACGATACAACGATATGCACATAAATTATTGAATGGAGAATCTGGTTCTAGTTTTATTATGTTTACTGTGATGTTTTATCAAATTAAGTCTTATGTATAGAAGCTGATTTGTTGTCTGCATATTACATCGCAAAAGAGACGCTGCACGGACGAGCCCTGGGGAAGATGTGTAGTATTACCGTTCGTGTATTACTGCGTTGATTTTGTCCGTGTTTCAGGGTTTTAAAATGAAACTGTTGCATAAGCAGTTGAAATTCAATATGTAGCCCAGTCCTCCGCTGCTATCTGACCATATAATCTACAACACAATGGTAGGTATACACAATTGGCAAAAACAGAGCATGACGTTACCATTGTCCTTTAGTCAGGCAATAAAATGAGAAAAAGAAAATAATACATTTCGAAATTAAATACCTGTTGAGCAACCAATTCCCAAATAGCGTCGTCAAGCTAAAGCTGTGGGGAATGAGGGGTAGAATAACCCCCAGTACCTAGAAGCCACTACACGAGGATCGGGTGGTTACAACGAGTGAACTTATTTTCTTGTGTCATCGTGCTCAGGTTATCAACCTCTGATTTACCTGACCAAAACTAAATTATATCCAGTCGCCATGATATGTATGGATATTTCCGACTGCGCCGTAAAAGAGCATTCATTCATAAAAACAATTAGTTCAACTTCACAGTTGTACCAGGCGGTGTTAATAAACGGTCTGTATCTTTCGCTCATACTGAGAGCTGATCAAGGTGTATCACATGTCTGCTACATATGCAGGTTGGATACACGATCCTGTGTTAAAGCTGTGTCTCATTTATTCCACTATATAAGATAACTATGCGATAAATCGCAAAGAACAATGAAGAAGCAAACTGTGTTCTACTATGACGTCATTTCCGGAGATTCGAAGATGTCCTCGAAACTTGTAACTCGTAAATTGGACGTTATTTTTGAGAGGGGGCGTCCAGTGAGTCGTTCCCCATAGATGTAGCCGGACAACGTAGATAAACGTAATGGCCGAACAAATGCATCCCAAAATGGGAGAGATATGACATAGGTCTAGGGGGAAATGGTACAGATAGTCGCCGTTACAATTGTGAGAATATCCGGGAAATTCACACACACACATACACACACACACACACACGTCTGTAATAAAACGGACTTGTCAGATTGTTTTCATTGATATCATTATTTAAATATTATTTAAATACGGTGAAATATAATTGTACATTTAAATACAGATGTTGTACTTAATATTGATATCCCATGCGCCCCTCGTGGTTTAGTCTCCCTGCAGTGTTTTATTGTACGATAAACAACTCACTCGTCGTTTATGTCTTAAATAAAGCATCTCTAAAAGTGAATAATGCTCATTATGTATCCTGCTAATGCAGCATCTTTCAATAAGCACTTCCATACTGAGTTTTTGAATTGGGTTTTACGCGGTTTTTAACAATATGCCAGCTATATCACGGGTGGCCCAGTCGTCTAAGGCCCCGCAATGCAGAGTTGCGTCCCTTGGGCACTCAAGAAAATTTTGACCGTGGGTTTGAATCCCGTGTCGCCCTGATTATGTTTCTAAGCTTGCAGCATCGTACCCGTGATCGTGGGTTTCATCAAAGCTGTAATTGTCTAAGACCTGCATTACTTTTCCTCCATCGAGGAGTTTTCCTCCATCGTCAAGCTGACACGCCGTGATATAGCTGGAATACTGTAAAACCCATCCAACTCACTACCATAATCAAACCGCCCCTGTTGCCTATTGGTTAGGCGTCCTCTCGAAGAGCGGAAGGTCCGGATTTCGATCCCCGGCCGCGTCATACTAGAAGACGTTAAGAGATGATACTTGTTGTTACCCTGTCTGGCGCTCATCATTAAGGGGCTAAAACAAAGACTGGTCGGCTCGGAGTCAGTATACTGTGTCTGAGTGGGGTATTCGTGTTAAACTGCGACATGGTATCTCAGAGGGCTAGCACTATAAACTCTGCCATTCGTTCGGACTAGTAGAATCAGCCACACATACAGACACGTGCATGCACGTCGCTATATAAGTGCAAAAATCTAGGGCGCGACGTTAAGCCCCATTTCAGCTCACCTCTCTACCACACTCATTCATTGTGGAGCCAAGTGTGGTTGAAGTTCACGTGCTCAAAAACAGGAATATCAGAGACAACGATTGATATTTATTACATTTGTACATATCACCTGTCGACTACATTAATATTATGGCAGAATGTCGACACAAACAAGCCGGCAAAGCACAACACCACTGACATTATGTTATGTTCGTGTGTGCTTGAAGCAGTCGCGATGCAATCAACAAATATTAGCACAGTGAGTCTGATATATAGTCAATGACATTTTGATCCAGCACGGCGATTCTAATGCATGAATTTTCATTATCAATTTTCGATCAGATCGAATAACTATTTGCCATTTGACCAGCCACGAAACAACAGAAAGCTACACTGTCACAAGGTGAATGTCATAGTTTCTGTAGGCACGTCATGTCTCAATTATCCCGGCAAACAAACGCAACAACATCCGGGTTCTGATCGCTGCATAACACTCCCGTTGGTATCAAGGACGTCTCAAATGGCCTTGACCCAGCTTCATCATCCCAGTTGTCATGACAACACGTGCCAGTGTGACACTTGTTCCTTCTGATTTGCTACCATTTCATTCCAGTGATCCAGTTCCTTTCCACGTGCAAACATGAAGGATCCAAGCACGACCCGACCAATTGCTTTATCTGGAAACAAATTAATGGTGGTCAGAGTTTGGTATGGACGCTCTGATAACGTACAGGATGTAATCAAGCCGTCATTGAACTAACTGCCTCAGTGTAGGCTTTGCATAACAAAACCACAGGACTCTATACAATGTTTACACCAATAATTGTTTGTTTTCCGAGATGCAATTAATTAAAATGCTGTTGACGAGTGCAGAAAGATAAATCCATTGTGATGTCTTGAGGCCAAGTCTTACTTTAAGTCTTCCAGTCTTTTGGTATGACTCGATGACTATCTTTAGAAATATACACGTGCGTCAATAGCATTTCTTTAAATTATAAGATATCATAAATCTATTATCCAAAATTCATAAAACCAAAAATGTCCGAATTTGTAACTGCGATAAATGACCATGCGTACAATACAGCTTAAATTATATGTTATACAGGTAAACGCGAAAACGTATTGCGTGGTATATTAGAGAGTATTTCTGTTCTATAAGTGCAAGGATCAGCTCGAGGTAGATTCGAATTCTAGAATCATCCCGGTTATAACATTATATTTGCTCAAAGGATGTCCCATCTCTGTTACGATATTTCCAGTAAAGACGGTTATATGAACGTTGTTGCCATTACCTTTGTGCCCGCTGTAATATTGCATAGCTGTGAGAGTGATACTGGCAGTATCAAGGCTGGTCACGGGGAGCTTGAAGGTGAAGGACTCATTGTACGTTGGGCTTGTCGACTTCTTAACCACCTCAGTCTTCTTGCTCTTGACCATCTTGTTTTGAATCATCAGGCTGACTTTAGCGTAGGAATCTGAAATTTCACTTTGCCATTGTTATATCATCAAAACGGTGGTAACCAAAATAACAGCATATATCGCCAACCGCTTTAATGTAACCTTCGCCCTCGCTCACAAGTTGTAGGACAGGCATGTTCGTCCTGGTGTCCACTGCTACTTCACAATGAGTCGTCAGTGAAGGCTTCTTTGACCTTATAGCTTTAAAAACATATTGAACTCTTTACCTGTGACAAGGGTACGAGGATAAATATCCCTTATGCTTCAACGTTTGGCTCTCTCTCTCTCTCTCTCTCTCTCTCTCTCTCTCTCTCTCTCTCTCTCTCTCTCCACACACACTGAAACATTAACCTAAATTGATATGGCATTTACATGTCTACGCTCGTCGCATTAACTTTCCTGTCAGAGGCAGAGTAACAACACCCTTACTATATTACAGCTGACGTGTTATTGAAAAGGAGTTACATGTGTAAGTACATACCTTTCGGTCAAAAAATATTTATTTTAACGTTTATCCTTACCATTGCTGTTATTTAAATCTGTTTAAGGTTGTATTACCGGCAGATGACTGTGACTATGACAAAGAACCCTTCGACCAGACGGGTCATGTGATTATGACACAGACATCCGCGTCAAGCCATAATAACAACAAGGCCAGGTTCTATCCCTCGAACCTCACTTGAAGTGCGCTCTTTCAAGTCCTTAATATAGAGTCCTTAGCATAAGGATAGTCTAGACGTATTACTAGTGATACCGAGAATGCTGGTGTAAACCGTCGTCCAATTATAGCGACAGACAATTGGGAAGACTCGGTGTAAAAACTCTTAATTACGAAAGGTCACTGATCGTATTGCTATCGATACTGTAACATATCGAGATGTTGGCAAACATTCACACACACTGATCAAATAACAGCTTAAGGGGTGTTTATCTAAGAAATATGTCTGGGGCGTTCCTAATTAGGATGTGCCACTGTGGGTGGTTATCTACTTGCACATATATGCTGTATGACCATGCTGATATGCCGTTATTTCTAAAATTACATGCGGGGCGGTCGGGTAGCCTGGTGATTAAAGTGTCGCTCGTCACGCCGAAGACCCGGGTTCAATTCCCGACATGGGTACAATGTGTGAAGCCAATTTCTGGTGTCCATCGTCGTGATATTGCTGGAATATTGCTAAAAGTGGCCTTAAACCATACTCACTCAATCACTAAAATTACATGCAATCTTGGCAGTATAAAATTGAAAAGAATGATGGACAGAAATGGTTTGTGTGTGTAATTATTGTGCAAGGTGCTGCGCATCAATTGGATATACATGCCAGAGAGTGTTGTTTGGTGTGGGATATCGGTTAATTGAGATTGTAAATAGACTGGACTCTTGTAAGTCTTGACCCTGTTAAGCCGGTAACCCTACATTTCGGACAATTTCTGCTTGCAACGATTCCACGCCAACAAAGTGTACTGATCCGTGACACTGATGCGTTAACCTGAAACTATGTTAATCCTGTCGATTTCAGTGGATCCGGAACTCCAGGCTGATGGTTTTATGATGTATCATATATATTTCAGTTGATATAATCAATGTCAGTTCTTGAATTATTTTCAAAAATTATAAAAGAATATTCGCGTGGCATCAGTGGTTCTGTCATATGCAATACATAAGGGATACAGGATAACAGGATAACAGAAGCATTCAACCCAGTGCACACAGATAATATACCTTCTACTCTCCATCTTCACTTACCAAAAGTGTTGTTGGCATCAACCCGATTACACATTTACAAACACTGCATCCAAACTTTGTGCTAGGGTCATCTACCCAAATACATATTTACCTACGCTCCCATGCAGAGCTGTGAAATCATCCCATTTGAATGGCTATCTCCACTACACCCACACACAGCTGTTCTGTAGACATCCAGCCCGATTGAAATGTTAAATAACCATCAGCGCTTACAAACAGTTCTCAGGATATCCATCCATCTGGTTATCATATATTCCACCCAGACTTAACTACACTGATGAAGAAATACAACCTCTTTAGGTTACCCCACCTTTATACACTCATGCTCAGCGACTGCAGTGACGCCGTCCACCCTCATTAAGTTTCCCCCACATCAATACTCCTCTACTTCATTACACCCATACTCAGTGGCAGTACTAGTGGTGACATCGTCTACTCGCTTTCAGTTCCCACCTCAATACGCTAATGCTCACCGACAGTGGTGACGCCGTCCACCCGCTTGAAGGTTTTCCCCTCGAAAACGCTGACAGTGAGTCGCTCCAGGTGGTTGTTGTAGGACAAGGACACAAGAATCTCCCCTCGGTCTGAGGTCGTCTGAAGAAAGAGTGAGTGAGTTATATTTTAACGTTATTTTTGAACAGTCTTCCAGTTACAACACGTGTCAGCTTAGTGTGGTAGGACAGCCGAAACTGACGCAGGTCTTAGACGCGTACCACTTTGGTGAAACCCACGGACACGGTATGGTGCTCACAAACCAAAAATAATAATCAGGGTTAATCTGGAATTCGAACCCACGATCACTGGACTCCGGTAAGCAACTTTGTACAGGAGCACTGTAGCACCTTAGACAACTGGGTCATCTATGTCCCTTCTATGCAAGGGAGTATGCTCTATGGCAACAATATCTTCAGGATAATTACCCTGCATGTCGCAAACAAAATTAAACAGTACGACTTATTTGTGCAGTCAGTTCTCACCACAATTATGCTTGGCTACCTCTTATATTGATTCAGTTTCAGTTTCTTAGCGGAAACTTGACGTCAGAAAATGGTCACACCAAATAATTATGTTGTTACTTGTCAGTGGTTCTGTCATTTTGATAAGACTAAAAAATATTAGATAAGTAAGGCTGTTGCAACTGTCTCCTAAACTGGCAACCTGATACATAAGATGTAACGTAAGTGCTCAAAGATGGAGAGGACGGCATACAACTGATAGTTAAATACATCTGTAAAATATGGTCTGCATCAATGCTATTTCATAGACCCTTTTCCTTTGACAGTAAAAACATAATACCTGTCTTCATAGAAGCACGACCCTCCAATGTACTCAGTGAAACAACTTATTTGGTTATCTCATGCCAGTGGGTGTTTGGAACTGTGAACACTAATGAGTAATGTTATATATCACAGTTCTTCAAACTTCTGTTTGTCTGTGAGCGTGAGTTAAATTGTATGTTTCATTTTCTTAGATGAGCGTGTGTTTGTGCGTGTGCCTGCGTGTGAGCGTCTTCCAAAACCCTTACATGCACAAAACACTACACCCCAATACCCCTCCACTTAGAAGAGTCCAATGAAGGTTAGAGTTAATTAACCCACGACAGTAAGGATAAGTTGAAGATAAGGATTTAGCCGAGGCTGACGATCACATTATCTGTTGGATGTGATGAAAGATATATGCGGTGACAATAACCATTCATTGTGCCAAGGAAATGATCTGAGCAGAAGTGGAAACCATCAGGAGTTGTTAAACATTAGTTAACCAATTCTAATTGACATGTAACATTACATTGGAAAATTACAAGATGTTGAGAACATTGGGTCTAAACTGAAATTTTGTTGACTATAAGCTGTAGGCCTAGGGGTAATGGGATGTAGGGGTTTTGGGAGGATACCCTGTGCGTGCGTATGTGTGCGCGTGTATGTGTGCGCGTGTGTATTTGTGTGTGTTTGTGTGCTGTGTGTTTGTGTTCCATTGTGAAGTAAAACCCAAACAGCTCAGAGACTTAAAACTGCATTAAAAAATCTTCGCCAACCCACTCGCTCGTTAAGTATTTTCAATGTGTATGTCTTTATTTTTTTTAATAACATTTTAATACGAAAAGGTGTGTAAAGTACATTTTCATGAACTTATGAATATTGATTCTAATATTTCTCAAGATAGATGGTATCGATACGTCCCTCGGAACTCACGAAACCTGAAGTGAAAATTCAATACATATGGACTTCGTCACTCTGTTTAAAATAACATGACTGGTGAATGCGGGGATAATCTTCCCCTGGAAATGGATAAAGCTTTTGTAAATTACACATGAATGTTCTGGAGACATAGGTTGATTATTCACGAATCGACAAACGCTAGCCAGAACCGGACAGAAATGTTGAAATGTATCAGAATTAAATGAGATGATTTGAGAGGAGAACATAATGATTCATCACTCAAGAGAGAAAATACAGATTTATATTGATTTTAACGCCGTCTCAATTATTGGGATTTATCAAAGAGAAGCGGGAAGAATGAGTTTATGAGATAACGCCGCCTCCAACGGTCTGTATATTAGGAAACAGAAAAATCGAATATTAGAGAATATGTTTGTTTAACGCCGCACTCAGTAATATTCCAGCTACATGGCGGCGGTCTGTAAATAATTGCGTGTGGACAAGACAATCCAGTGATTGACATCATGAGCATATATCGACGTAATTGGGATACGGCGACCTGCATCAACCAATTCAACGAGCCTGATCACCTGATACCTTAGTCACCTCTTACGACAATCGTGGGTTGCTGAAGACAATTCTTACCCGAATCTTCACGGGTCTTCGTGAATGTGGTTTACACTACATTGAGCAAATTCCATCAAGGCGCAAAGACGCCAAGAACAGACTTCCAACAGTGTACCGATGTGAAAAAACAAATGCGGGACTTCGGTGTGACAAGCGGGCACTTTAACGACTGTGCTACACAAAGGCCGAAGTGAAGCAAGTCAGCGAAACACAAAATGAGTATTCTGGTATTGGGACAGTTGCTTGTTGTCTGAAACAATGTGTTAAAAGACAAATATGGCAATAATAATATCTGTGATGGGTCTCGGGACTTTCGTTCGAGAAAAGTTATGTTTTTTGCAAAAACCTACTATTGTTTTAGTGACCAGAAAAATTGATCATATCGCATAAGAAATCTCAGTTAACATTTAATTACTTTGTAAAAATTGGGGCAAAAAATGTGTTTTAGCATTTTTCTAGAAATATTAAACATCTTTCAATTATAGAAGCGATCATGTTGAAATGACATTTGTTCCTCAACTTGTACAATGTCAACACACCAGTAACCCAAACAAAATTCACCTTAGTACATAATCGTCCAATTTGTTAAATGCTACGAGCGACGGTCTGTGAATGATATTTTCCGTTGTGTAATGAGCAATTAATGCGTTTGAAAAAACACATGCAATCAAAGTCTCATTGGGCTCCCTGGGGAAAAGCTAGCGACAAGCCCTTGAATCGCCGACCACTTACAAACTATGTGTATGAGGTAATTTCGCCTAACAACACTGGCACCCTAATAGATGAAGATGGAAGTCGGCTGTGCGTTGCTTCATCAGCAAAAATGCGCCTGTTTTGATTTTGATCGAGATGCCAGTGCCGCAAATCGATATCCATAACCCGAAGCATATTTATTTATTCAGATAACATCAATAAGCATGCATTTTAGATGTGTCTTACATTGCGTTAGAGAGGTACAAAGGTGAGGGAACAAAAAGTGATTTTTTTTTTCATTAAAACAAATGATGTGTCACTTTCAGGTAAAACTATTCTGTCATCAAATACTCCTCGGACAATGTTTTGTGTATCAAAGTTTCATTTCAATAATTGGAACTGTCATAGATAGAACTTCAAGGTGTTTTTGTTTCATTTCGTATATCGATCTAGATATTTTTTAACCAAACAGCCCGATGGGATGTTTATCGTAAGAGCGACCAAATGGATCAGGTGGTCAGGCTTGGTTCATTGAGTGTCATAGTACCGCGACAGATCTAGAGTGGGAAGTAGCTCACAATATCAATCACTGGATTATCTGGTCCATTCTTTAATTTAAATGCAGCCATAACTGGACTAGTTGTAGGTACAGCGTTAAACAACAAACAAACAATTAACTGAACAATTGTTCCTTGACATGCAAGCACGGACATTGAAAACTCAATAAGGACACGTTTCAGCCAAACAATTCGTTCCCGCGTCAAAGGGACCTTATCTCGTTACTTTCCTAAATCCTTAGACATATTACACATTCTTATTTACCTATATCATGTGCTTCGGTTGTACAAGTTTACGACACGTTCATTGAAATGTAAGATGATTACCGTTACTATGTAATTTGTTTTATTCAAACCAAATAAGAAGAATAAAACGCACTTAATCAAACATATAACGTTGGTTCTCATCCCGTTTTAAGGCTTCTGTTATCCAAGTGTGACAGAGGTGTTCTGGTTTCCAGACATCACAGAAACTTCAGGCATATTATACAATGACCACAAGACACTATGAATAGGCTTCGCGAATTTTACCAATCTTTGCAGGAGAACCCAGATGGTCGGCGTGATGACTTCTAAAGTATTGCGTAAGCTGGATTGTAACAACTCATCAGTTATGGAGTCTGGCCAAGGATGACAGGATGACTTTCTTGATATCTTCTCTCATTGCTATCCATAAGTAATCGTGGAATATTCAATTAAGATAGCATCACGGTATCAATGGCAGAAACCAAGTTGCATTAATCATTCGGGATTAATTATTTCACATCCGTCTTCACAGTGGACTTCAAGATTGGCTGCAGCCCATGCCCAATTTGATAGACACCGAGAACTTGCTAATCTATGACCTTTACCTTGGGGGTCATGACATCCAACTTCCTGCCACCAGCGATGCCACGTATTGAGAATGTCAACGAATTGATGGTAATCTTAGAGGTATCCGTGGCCTGTAGATTCTGTTCAATAATACATATAAGTCTGTCTTTAGATTTAAAAATTGGGACCAGAGAGCAGTGGTGACTCTGGGTCAGGCTTTTGTCAGATACAGTGAAACGTCTCTTATCCGGAAACCCCGTTTGGAACATTTATACAACAATAATTAAAGACATATTAATAGTAACCATTATTCGTTTCTCCGGACGTTAGTTAGCGCATAGCGCAACTTCCGCTGTAAAGAGGGTATTCTGTTATTCTTAAGCTGACTTTTACGAATAGAGGCTGTTGATTAGACGTTATTTGGATAAATTGCTGGGCAAAAGAAAGTATCCACTTAAAAATGGATTTCACAAAGGAATACAAGGGTTATCAAAACGTTACTACTCTGAAAACAGTCACCGAAACACTAGTACTGCATACTTAGGGTCCAAAACACAACTGTGATACACGTATGAAATACATCACCATCAACTAACCATTTCTTGTTTGTTTCAGTTTTACCCAGCATCAAACATCAGACTTTCTTTCAGCCGACTGTTTAGTTTATCCTGCGCGTGTGCCAGTAAACAAAACTGTATAATGGAAAAGAACAGAAAACTATAGTGACGGTTACAAATACAAGACTACAACAAGCCTTATTCGTGTTCTTGTCACTTCCAGGCCTCAGTAAAACTGTTTGGATTTGAGTAACACAGAATATCGGAGTTTCTTCTGCACAGTAACGTTTTACATTAACTAGAAGAATGATGACTCAATTTATTCATCTTGATAATTGTTATTCCAATCCGAAACAGTGTTTAAGAGTCACGTTTTCATGTATATTTCGTCAAGTAACGTAACTTTAAAGGTGTCCTCACTATTTTAGGTTTGGATACATCTACATGTACGTTTAAATAAAAGCGACCAAACCCTTTCCATATGCTGCTTAAGGCAGAGTCGACTGTACGATTCCGACTATATCATGAGCATGTTTTTATAAATCACTATCAAATAGTTCAGGAATCTGATACCAGGTGTTCGCGAAACCCGTCACAAACACATACAAAGGTAAGTCAGTTGTTCACCTGATAAAAAAACACGCCAACAAGGCCGATCCAACGTACACGTCAAAATAGGGACTTGCATCGGACATCACTTTTGTCACTTATGCGCCATATTTAAAATGTCTTCCACATGTCTACCATAAAACCTTTCGAAAGCTTTACTGAGGCCTTGAATGTTGTAACCTTGGTCAAACACCTTCTTAGCAAGAGTCGCATGGCGTTCTTTGAAATCTTGGTAGAACGAGCATGCTCTTTTGTATCTCAAAAGTTGTATGAGAGGTGTATGTTCTCAGTTCTATAAATGTGCACATATCACAAACAGTATCTTTTCAGATTAGAAGGCTGATCCAACATAGTTGCAGCATTGTGATCCACGTTTCCTGGATTTATATACAATGTTGAACTGAAAATCGTTTCGGGGGTGACGTCATCTCCCCCATCTCTTACTTAGCACGAAATTTGTCTCGCTCGTGAGAGTAATTTGGTTACTAGCGTCGCGCCATTCGAATATAAGCTGTGGTGGTGAATGGGTCCAGGGTATTTATCAGGACAGAAAGGATATATACTACCCCGGATAATCGAGGATGTGCTTGTTTGTTTGTTGGTTAATGCCGTACTAATCAATATTCCAGTTATAAGACAGCGGTCTTTCAATAATCGACCCTTGACCTGACCACCCAGTGATTGATATCATGAGCGTCGATCCACGCAATTGGGATACGATGACATGCATCAACAAAGTCTGACTACCCGTTCCATTAGTCGCCTCTTACGACAAGCATGGGTTGTTGAAGACTAACTCTAACCGAGATCTTCACGAGTCAATCGAGGATGTGCTAAAGATGGCGCAGGTGGTAGAGGTTTTCCACTTCGGTGAAACCAACTAGTGCTGACGGTGCTGACAAACTAAAAGCCAGGCCGAATGAAGAATCCAGCTCACCTAGCTGACAAATAAGTGACTTGACATCTTTATGACTTGACGACAAGCATGGGGAATCAGTGCTTTTGCAAATGGACGGGAGTCCTTGTCTCTTACAAAACGAGTGAGCGAGTGAGTCAGGTTTTACACCGAATTGAACGGTATATGTTTTATATCACGTCGAGTCAGCTTGATGTTGGAGTCAAATCCAAGACGATTCACACTTGCATAGGTATGATGCCAAGAATAATAATCAGGGCACATCTGGAATTCGAACCAACGATCATAGGAGTGCCTAAGGGACGCAACTCTTCAATGTGAATCAAGGTCACGTGAGGTTGTTACATGAATTCTGTTTCAAGATGAAAAAGTAACCAGAAGTATCGAAATGGCGAAACGCCTTTAGATAACAGATTCTAAATGTATGAAGTCAACACCAATTTGTTAAGTTCGGCGCCTCCTTGTGACAGTTCGCACCATCATCAGCTATCCTGTGTATAGAGATATATCTCAACAGGTGTCACATCAAAGAGAGGGAGCAGCATGTTAAAAGCAACAATTTAATCTGCCAAAACACGTTTCTTTGAAGCTGATGTCTAATTTAAAAATACTTATTTTTCAAGCGGATTATTGACTGCGGTTGACGCAAATTATAATGGTGTTGAAAGCGACCTCGGTTAGAAAATGCGATTGCTTGCATGTTTGATTAATGTTTCCGTTTTGATATCGCGTGGGCAGAGAACAATTTGTGATTGTAAAGATGTTAATATCCTTGAATAGACAAGGCAGTTTCTTTAAGTTTGTAAATACCTTATTGAATGAGGGATAACGCAGGGTGAATTTAATAAGATAATATAGTAATCTAGCTGGGAACTAAGAGTTCAATAAGAGCTTTACATGTAAAATAAGGCCTTGTGGTCATCTTGTGGTCAAAGCGTTCGCAAGTGACGCAGATGACCCGGGTTTGATCCCTATATGGACACCATGTCTGAAGCCAATTATTGGCCCGCCTCCGACTATTTCTAAAAGCGGCATATAATATCACTCACTAGCTCAATCAATACGTGCACGTATAGTGACCTTTTGCACAGAACACACCTTACTGTACTAGTTCGACCTTGGACATTACCACGTCAGTTCAAACGTCAATTACAACGTAATCATCTTAGAACTAGCATCCCTTTTTATGGAAATTGCAACTAACAGCGGAGTATATTGTTAATGCTCCCTTTGCATTAGGCTTGGAGACAAGCCATTCCTAACCATTTCGTGAGCACCTGAAATCACAGTTATTTGAGAGTGTTGATGTCAGGGCATTGATTTCAACGACACGTCCTAAAGAATAAGGTACAAACTTCGAACCGCGTGTGAAGCCAAACGGGAGGCTACAATGTGTAGGTGTCGCATTCAGGTGTAAATTTTAAGGTCTGATATGTAACAAAAAATGCGTCCTGACTGACAATGAAGCACTATCCCTTTGAAGATTTGATTTAGCTATCGTGAGCGTGATCGAGATGATTAACATTGAACGTCTTATATCAGTGATAGGAGTGCAAAATGTCGACCTCTCCGTACAACAAACCCTCTCACCCGTCATCTTCTCGGCAACCATCCCTCCACCATCACCTTTCTCCCCCAATAACGCTCCTTCCATGGCCAACTCCTTTCCTCAATACCGCTTCCTCAATGACCAACCACCTTCCTCAACAACGCTCCCTCCGTGGTCAATCCCCTTCCCCAATACCGCTCCCTCTATGGCCAACCACCTTCCTCAACAACGCTCCCTCCGTGGTCAATCCCCTTCCCCAATACCGCTCCCTCCATGGCCAACCCCCTTCATCAATACCGCTCCCTCCATGGTAACCCCCCTTCCTCAAAAGCACCCATTCCACCGCCACCCGTCTCTCTCGAATGCACCCCTTCCACCGCCACCCGTCTCTCTCGAAGGCACCTCTTCCACCGCCACCCGTCTGTGACATCTCGCTCAACAACCCTCACTCCACCGTCACAGACCCGTGACACTTCCCTCAACATCCCTCACTCCACCGTCACAGACCCGTGACACTTCCCTCAACATCCCTCACTCCACCGTCACAGACCCGTGACACTTCCCTCAACAACCCTCACTCCACCGTCACAGACCCGTGACACTTCCCTCAACAACCCTCACTCCACCGTCACAGACCCGTGACACTTCCCTCAACAACCCTCACTCCACCGTCACAGACCTGTTTTACCTCCCTGAACAACCCTCAATCCACCGTCACCAACCTCCGACACCTCCTCAACACCCCCTCCACCGTCACCCACCTCCGACACCTCTCTCTCCAGGTCCCTCCACACCACCAGCCTCCCCTCCAGCAGACAGTCGTGGTCACGGAGCGGGTACAGGGCGTGGCCGATGACGTTGTGGCGCTTGTGTCTATCCACGTCGTACACTGTCAGCTTCAGAACGCGGTCGTCAATAGTCCGGGAATTCACCTGAAGACACAAGAGTCCTGCTTGTACCGAAAGACAGTTAGCAGGCCCTTTAACCAGGCTTTCCCAAGTGGTCGATATGCCACGATTTAAAAACATGAACGGCAGCCAAACGACAATACACGTTAAGTATAAACCACAACTTTGTACAACATGTGACTATAGAGACATTTCTGGTCAATTTGGTTACTAACGTGATTACAAGTGTGACACCAGAGGAAAGAATGAATTGTTGTGAATTTAATATAAAAGATGCAAACCGAAGGTTCTCTCTCTCGTAATCAAGACACGTGGATATTTTCCAGCAATGTCCGCTGGGACATACTGCTAAGACTTGCGCTAAGAATTTCATCTTTTCATTATCCGACAAATACAATTATATACAAGTACAAGTACCTGATCCGTTTTATGTGTCTAATCTGATTTAGAATAAAGACGGAAAAACGGCAACAAATTAGATAATGATTTATCAAAAATAGTATTATTTTAGTGTATATATATATATTGTAAATCAGTTGATACTGATGCAAATAATGTTAAAAAGCACTGAACATTAGTTGTGTGAGATAGTTTTATGTATTCTTTGTCACATTAAATAGATTTGAACTCGACGTCAACATTCAATGCATTTCTTAATACCTGGAAGACGTAGCTCTCCTCGAACTTCGGGTTACAGGTTTTCTTTCTAAACTTTGACTGGAGATAACGTCTTTCGTCGGGCATCAGGTACAGTCTGTAACAAAAATAACTTACATTTACTGTCAAATTCTGTCACTGACTTCATACATGTGCGTTGTTCTTCTTCGGAAAATGCTTACATTCGCTGCAAATAAACTAGTAAAAGAAGAAGAAAAATATTTAATCTTTCGAAGTGTCTTTATGTACGACGTGCACCCACAGTATCTTCACTTTTGGGGGTGCGAATAAAAAGTCTTTGTTCACTGATTTAAGATATTCGTACTGAAACACATCCCTTTGGCTTCAGGAAATAGTATCTATGTTCATCTCATTCACCTACATTTATGTTCGCAAATTTAAGATGGTCATCGATTCATACTGAAAGGGTGGAAGACCTAACGTAACACGTGATACTTCAAAGTGGAATTTCCTTATTGTACATGCCAGTAGTACAGCCGATGAAAAACCGCAAAAACAGAGAATTAACTGAGTAAATGTGGTATAATGCCATATGTACACGTATAATCAAGCTGTCTGCGAAATGGCCGCTCGACGACTCTCTTTAATGAATTCTCATCCTGTTTCTAGTGTCTTCAAAAAGGTTTTATCAGTTTACATTGAAATTAGTTACCTGAGATAACAGACTTAATCTGTTTGGTCATCTTTCTAAATGGTGTGATTTAAATTACACAAGCAATACAACACTTTTAACTGTCTATAAACTTTCCTAATATATAACCAAAAACATGAGTTAAATTTGAAACAGGAGTAATGCTGGTCTTGTAAAGGGTTTCTTTGTAAAGGCAAAATACTAAAATATCTTAATCAAATACAGTTCTTCGGGAAACAAAATGAGACTCACCAGGAGGGACTGACTAATAACTTTTTTTCTGACACATAATTTGTTTTTCTTTTTGAAAGAAATTCTATATGTTTTTCATGAAAGTGCTTACGGCAACAAAGAGAGAAAACTGTGAAAACTGTGCTGCAGTAAACGAGTCTATCATGTTGAGACTGTGTTGACAGCAGTGCAAACACTTGTTATGATATTTCAGTGCATTTATGCAAAGACATCGGTTCCTATAGGGACCTACATAGGGACATGGGGGAAAAGGGGGTCCAGTCATCTTCGGCGGGGTGCAGAGTTGCGTCCCTTAAGCGTTCCACCAGCCTATGATCTTTATAATGTATTTTGCTTGTCAGCACCATACCCGTGATCATCGGTTACAGCAAAGTGGAAAACGTCGAAGACCAGCATCAGTTCGGGATTTCCTCCCACATTAAGCTGACACGCCGTGATATAACTGAACAATCGTTCAAACGGAGTAAAATCCAACCCACTCACTCACTCAAGGACATGCAAAGATGGAAATCAACCACAATTATAGTCACAATTCATTAACGTGTATATTATAACACATGCGGGTATAGATGTTTGTACACGATGTTCACAGTGTACGCATACCACGTTGTACGTATCACCGTATAAAATATGCATGATTTGCGGACACACGTGATGGAATATTACATCCATGTTTATACCGTTACTCACATATGGCCAAATTACAACCACATTTCTAGTGTAACACATACATAACATATACAGACATATTACAACGTTAATATTAACTCCCATACGGACATAATACCACGTGTAAACTGTAACACACATGTGGCCAATGTGGACAATGTACAGTCATGTTAATAGTGTAACTCCCATATGGACAATACTTTATTACGATGAGTATATTGTAACACACATGTGGACAATGTGGACATATGTAAGTCATGTTAATAGTGTAACTCCCATATGGACAATACTTTATTACAATGAGTATATTGTAACACACATGTGGCCAATTATGGACATATGACAGTCATGTTAATAGTGTAACTCCCATATGGACAATACTTTATTACAATGAGTATATTGTAACACACATGTGACCAATGTGGACATATGACAGTCATGTTAATAGTGTAACTCCCATATGGACAATACTGTATTACAATGAGTATATTGTAACACACATGTGGCCAATGTGGACATATGACAGTCATGTTAATAGTGTTACTCCCATATGGACAATACTGTATTACAATGAGTATATTGTAACACACATGTGGACAATGTGGACATATGACAGTCATGTTAATAGTGTAACTCCCATATGGACAATACATATGGACATATTACAATGAGTATATTGTAACACACATGTGGACAATGTGGACATATGTAAGTCATGTTTATAGTGTAACTCCCATACATAGACAATACATATGGACATATTACAAACATACTCTACCGTAGATGATATAAGGAAAATTACAACACTATTTCCATTGAAAAACATTCATTTTGGTTTATCACAATAAATTGTACAACTTATATTCACATTTTCCCATAGCAGTACCATATGATAGAGATCCATCGATACCAAACCACGTTTCTATTTAAGCATATACACATTAGTAAAAGATAGGCATCACTCCTCCTTTAGCTATATATAACTCCCATTTAACTTTTCGAAGCATTTTACACATGACATTAATCTCATTTTAATATATACAACCAATATGTACCAAGAACACTCATGTTATTCTACGTAGATTCTCGACCGTCTCCACCGCCTCCGTGGTCTAGTGGTAGAGCGTCCGCCCGGAGAGCGGAAGGTCCGGGGTTCGATCCCCGACCGCGTCATACCAAAAGACGTTAAAAGATGGTACTTGTTGTTACCCTGTCTGGCGCTCGGCATTAAGGGGCTAAAACAAGGACTGGTCGGCTCGGAGTCAGTATACTGTGTCTGAGTGGGGTATTCATGTTAAACTGCGGCATGGTATCTCAGTGAGCTAGCACTATAAATCGGCATCAGTCCGGACTAGTACAAGCAGACACACAAACACATACACGTACATGCACGTCGCTATATAAGTGCAATAATCTTGGACGCGACGTTAAACCCCATTTCACCTCACCTCACCTCGACCGTCTCCGTGGTCTAGTGGTAGAGTGTCCGCCCTTCCATCCCCGGCCGCGTCATACCACAAGACGTTAAAAGATGCTACTTGTCGTTACCCTGCATAGCGCTCGGCATTAAGGGGTAAAACAAGGACTGGTCGGCTCGGAGTCAGTATACTGAGTCTGGGTGGGATATTCATGTTAAACTGCGGCATGGTATCAAAGTGGGCTAGCACTATAAAATCGGCATTAGTCCGGACTAGAACAAGCAGCAACACACACATACACACACGTGCCGTCTTTAACGTGACGTTAAACCCCATTTCACCTCACCTCACGTACATGATACATGTACGTAAATATTCGTAGATAGACACACGTAATGGTTCACATCATATGATCTGACGAAGCAGAGGAAACATACAAAAGGGTACACAAATTAACTATTGCAATGGAACAGTTGGGAATTTATACAGGATACGTTTTTTTCAAAGGAAATTTAATATAGAAATACAGAGTGACTTCTTAAGAGGCGCCTCTCCCTTTTAAGTGTGTATATTCATTTATATTCATCGGATTCAGGCTCGAATGGGCCACATTTATGACAGTCTAGCCTGCAATGAACATGCATGTCAATCCGCAACACACGGTCACTGACATGATGCTCTCTCTGTTCCCTTTATAGACACAAGTGATGAAAACTGAACGCAGCGACGTGCATCTTGTGCTCGCTGCTCCATGAAAAGCAAGGGAATGCTGGTCTGAACATGGAATATTATCAAGTTAATGCGGCTTTTATGTAGTGATTAGATAGCACAGGAGGATGTTATCTCCTCGTTACGTAGAAGAACTTTTTGTCTCTAAAGAGGATTTGTGCCGTCCCAAAGAAAGGTCATTGCAGAGTAGGAGTAACCCATTGCTTGGAAACAAGGAGTTGTTAAAACAAAGAGACTTATAATTACCTCTTTAATACTGTGGAATTCATGATTTTAAGAGCATGATATTTTTTTCTATTATCATGAATAGTTTAGCACGGCAAAGGAACGAAAAGGTTAACAAAGACGGTTTTTTCTTTGCTTGTGACCTGTTTTTTTTCACAAATGAATACGAATTCATAATTTGTCCAAATGTTGTGTATTTCTTGAAAAACTTGTTGAGCAAATATTGTTAAATAATCTTTTATCTTTTGGTATCTAATGCCACGACCGATTTGTGTCTTAGTCGTGAATGCCAGCATTGATATGATACAATATGTAGATACACGATCAAAGCGTTGAAACAGCTGGGTGGCCTAGTGATCGTTAAAAAAATAGGTTTGATTCCCCACATGCTGGCTCACAATCAAAGAAACATAATTGGTCAGAACTGGGAATCGAACCCACGATCATAGGTTTTTGGTGTGCCCAAAGGAGGCAAATATTCACCCGTGTCCCCTCAAAATTTTGAGGATAATAAAACCTGAAATATAGCAAATCTTAATACACACAAAAACAATCAATTTGTAATTTAGGAAATAGGTGTCCGCGATTATTTGAAATAGAAGAATTACAGTATTACAGTGGATTTAAGCCGCTTTTTGATATTCAAGCACGAATATTGGGACGGTGAACACCCGAAAAGGGCTTCACACATGGTACCCAATTAGGGAATTGAAGACGGGGCTTCGGCGTGACGAGTGGTAGCTTTAACACTTGTCTACCAAACCGCCCCATAATATAACATATGGGATTGAACATTAAGACTGAAGATCACATTTAGGATTTTTTTTACAGACAAGAACATCCGTACAACAAGATTGATTGCGTTTGAGTTTTCATAATATCGGTGGTCTACCAATCCCCAAATCAAGTAAAACAATCTCCCTTTCCCTGAATTTGATACGGCCTTGAAGATAATATTATGCATACTCATAAACGATGTTCAATCAAACAAGAAACCCTGGGCCAAAGACAAACTCGTTTATCTAATTGTTGGAATCGGCGAAACGGCGTTATAACACAGTAGACTTTACATACTGTCTTAACGCATCCTTCAATGGAGTGTCTGGTATCAAAGGATGAGTTAACATCAACGTAACGCATTTAACAGCCTTA